TCGGAGGAGGGCGTTTGTCCAGCTCCAGCCCCTATGAGGAGGCAGTCTCCTCCCGGTGATGGTCACGGGGCGACCTAAGGGGGTTGAGGCTGCGCCGCACGCTACCGTCACTCTAGCGCGCTGGCACCAGGAGGACGGGACGGCGCGTCGGCGGCTGCGGACTGCGATGCGGTCCGCATTTTCGTCGTCGCTGTCGTCGCCGAACATACTGTTGAAGAGCAACCCGGTCGGCGGTGTATCGCGTTCCAACCCGGCAGGCTGGTTCTGGCCCAGCGGGGTATCCCGGAACACCAGCGGCACCGCCCGGGCGGCCTGGTAGGGCCGCCGTACCGCGGAGACTGACGTCGTTGGTCGTCGACTATCGCCTCGACGACCCGTCGGTCGGGCGTCCTCGGGGTGGCGCCGCGTGTCTGGTTGTAGTGTTGACCGCGGGAACCCCCCTACTCTGAACGGGTTCTGACCCCGGACGGAGATCGGACGTCGGGTGTAAGAGTGCAGGGGAGTCGTTTAGTGGGTGGGCCCTAAAATCCTTGGGCCCGCGATCTGCTCTCAACACCTGCAGATCGTTGAGTCTCACATACCCCGCGCGCCCCCTAGGCGCGGAGACCTCGTAGGAGGTTCGGCCCCCGGCCCGAGAAAAAAAAAAAAGAAAAAAAAAAAAAAGGTTGTTGTAAAATCATTTATCCTACACATTTATAATAATTAGTCAAGGTAATTTAGATTAAATTATGATTAAATTTCGACAGCCGATGTTTATTCAATTAAACTCATTATTTAATAATCATATTGGAGTTTTGATGTCTCCCAAAGTTTTATTATAAAAAATAAAATAATTGTGAAGTTAAATGAAATTAATTGAATTTGAATTATTTATCACCATGATACCTATTATACATTATACCTATTATATCTACATGATACCTATTATACATTATACCTATTATACATGATACCTATTATACACTATACCTATTATACATGATACCTATTATACATTATACCTATTATACATGATACCTATTATACATACTTTATGAAATTAATTGTTCTATTTCTGTATCATCGGGACTTCGGTCGGCATTCTTGACAGAAATATCTGTATGAGTAAATGCATAACAAATGTACAAAAGTAATTATGATATCATTTGTGGTATTTATTTTAAATTGAATTTAAATTATTTATCGTCCTGATACCTATTGTACATGTAAAATTTTGCAAAACGTATTATTTTTTCCATTTTACCTTATTAAAGCTATAAATAATAATGACATTGATGTTGTTAAATACAATAATAACAACGCTGAAAGAAAGACAGTTTTTCTTGTTAACTCACTTTGGGAAGAAATGAAAATGACTAGATATCTATCTATTTCTATATTAAGTGTACTATATTAATATTATGTCATAAAGGTAAAACTGTGTTTGATTGTACTTTTGTTTGTCCTTCTTTCACGTCGGAACGAAGCAAACGAACATAGTTTTTTTGATAGTATTAGGTCAGCAAAGTGACATAGAGGATATACCTTTTATCGCGAAAAAACAACTCGTGCCCATGGACAACTACACCGATATTGTTTTTTGAACACGCGGGCGAAGCCGCGGGTAGCAACTAGTTATATTTACAAATAATGTTCGCCTCATTATTGAAATTCGACCGTAATCACTGACACTTTAAGATTTAGATTCAATTAATTCATAAAAAATACATCAAACTGAGGGTTTTCATCATATTTCTTTCTTGTTATTTGTTTTCAGATAATTTATTAGGAGCTAAACATTCAAAAAAGGCTGCTATCTGCCGTGAACGTGTTATGAGCTTCTTCGGACACATCATGCGGTCTCCCAGACGTGAATTAGAGAAGCTCATGATTTCGGGTCTCATAGAGGGTAAGCGCGCCATGGGCAGAACACCAGCCAGATGATCAGATCTAGTAAGAGAAGCACTTGGTGGTAGTCTGTACCATGCGGTCCATGTCGCATGTAAGGAATTGTCTATGTACATGTATTTATGTGTGTGTGTGTGTGTGTGTTTTCATTAATTTATTTTTTATTGCTTAGATGAGTGGACGAGCTCACAGCCCACCTGGTGTTAAGTGGTTACTGGAGCTCATAGATATCTATAACGCTAATGCGCCACCCACCTTTAATAGATATAAGTTCTAAGGTCTCAGTATAGTTACAACGGCTGCCCCACCCTTCAAACCGAAACGCATTACTGCTTCACGGCAGAAATGGGCAGGGCGGTGGTATCCACCCGCGCGGACTCACAAGAGGAACTACCACCTGTAAGTGTATGTGTGTATACATATATATATTTCAATTGATTGGTACACCGCGTGTAATCAGTTTCCAAACGATTATTTTCCACCTGATGCTTGTCTGGAAGAGGTCGCTCTTAGCGATAAGACCGCCAATTGTACTTATTTTTTTATATTTAATGTTTCCCATTGTTTCTTTTAATGGTGTACAATAAAGAATACTCTCTCTCTCTCTCTCTCTCTCTCTCTCTCTCTCTCTCTCTCTCATGCCACCCATAATCGAACACTGTAGAGGAACGTCACATGTGGTCGTGATCCTCAGTAGTGAGGGAACGATATAGAAGAGAGATTAGGACAGATCTCTTTAAAATAAATCCCCTCTATGTCTCCATTCGGGAACTGCCCAGGGGGACCCCGAGAAGACAATGTATGATCTACTCCATAGGACTCAGAGCAACCGGTCGATGGAAGGACAAGTCTGAGCCCATGCTTCTGTATCCTCTGGAATGTATTTAACGTTGTGTATTAATTGTACGTATATTCACGGATATATGTATGTACCTATGTTTATGTGCATGTATTTGTATGTGTACATATGTATATATATTTCCTTGTATTTTTTTGTATTTAATGTATCGCACTGTTTGTTTTTTGGTGTACAGTAAAGAATACTCTCTCTCTCTCTCTCTCTAATGCCAGATAAGCAAATTCCGGATAGCCCCCCGACCGAGGGGCCAGCGGTTTGACACTAATAATAGCGTTGATAAGCTCGAGCTGTGCCTTCCTTAGTCGAGGCTCGGACATACACCGCTTAGGTATAGTGGGTTTTAGGCAGCACCAGATACCCTGCCTCCCCCCACGTGTATACGACATTACTCTTATATCAAGAAATTATATTGAAAACATAGGTGACGTCACGCAACAGTGCTCCAACATGTTTCAGTAATCACATGCTCTATGTTAATAGTTTGGTACATAAAAAAAACCTATCTCAATTTAAACATATATATATAAATATGTAATTGAAGCTCTCCTGGGCTTTCATTAATTGCATTAACTTCGACTATAGACATAATATTATCTATGGTGGCCGCATTTAACACTAAGTTCATTCTATAATTAGAAATACCTACCTAGTAATTCTAAATGTAGAAGTAAGTTATGTTTGCAAATCATTCGTTTCATAATAGTACATTGGGAGCGGGGCGGAGGCCCCCCCCACTCGTAAAAAAAACAATTTAACTGTTTTTTAATTTTTAAATAAACTGCTACTAATTGAATAAGAAGTATCTGATGAACTCATCTTTGTTTAATACTTCACTATTAAATTTTATTACCTTTTGTTTATTTCACTTTTACACTAAACACAATACTGCAAATTACCCGAGCACAACAATGGCGGAGAATTTTATGTGCGTGAGAGCAGACGTAGACACTAACGCGCATGCGCACTTGTCAGTACCCAGGGAGAAAAAGTTACACTTTCTTCCCTGTACAGAGGGAGGAAAACCGAACTTTCGGCGTCGGTAGGAGAAAAAATAAATATCCCTTTACAAAACAACAACTTTGTTTTTCTTTGTTTCAATAATTAACATATTACCTACATATTATATGAATATATTAAAACGTGTACTTAAGTACGATTATCATTACTTCGTTTACAATTAAAGATTAAATAATTCAATTACAATTAAAGATTAAATAATATTAGTAATATGATAAAAATATACTCACAACAAACAAAAGCACGACCATCACACGCGGCGTAAAATATTAAACTAAAGGAAAATCATAAATTACGTTTCATTGCTAATTACGATTGAATGTTGATTGAATTTAATTATTTGTAGGTTAAAATGGCATATATTAAAATTAAGCTTCAAATAAATTTTTAAGTGATATTAAAATTACTTTTACAGCTTAATACTAATTTTATAGAGGTATTAAAATTGTTTATACAGTTTTTTATGTGAAGTTCGTTTTATCGCCTACAATAAGTATTGCGCTAAAGGAGTGGCAAGGTTACATAGCACTATCCACCATGAGGTTAAAGCTCAACTGTATAGCCGTTGCCCCACCAATTAAATTCGATAGTATGACAGGTCGTCGCAAAAATAGCCTTCCGCGAACATAATAATATGTTTGACTTATTACTTATTATAAAGTCGGTTTACTGACGATAGTTGAACATGACAACGTCATAAGAAAATACTGATGGAATGGTTTAATTTTTCAAAATTTTACTTTTATTTGTTTGATAGATATTTTGTATGGACAATTGACACCACATTCACTTTTCACTGAACTTCATACTTGACGAAAACATGTAAATGTATTATTGTATAGCAGCTGTCCGCGCGGATGCATCGCTCACTCAAGTAGGAGAGAGAGACAGATGTCGAACGCTGCCGAACGCGGAGGCCGGTTGTGCCTCTTTGTCGCTCGTTGCGCGCTCTCGCTTGCACTTCAAGCCTTAACTGGAACGCCTCAATGAGTCATGTATTTTCGTGCGTGCAGCCGGCTCCATCGAATTATAAGACGTTGTCACGTAAAAAATTGGCACTTGCCCATACTTTTATACTTGTTATAATGGGTGGACGAACTCACGGCCCACCTAGTGTTAAGTAGCAACCGCAGCCCATAGACATCTACAACTTTGAATTTTAAGATCACAGTTTTTACAGTACAACGGCTGCCTCACCCTTCGAACTGAAACGCATTACTGTTTCACGACAGAAAAAGGTAGTGGTGGTACCTTCCCGTACGGACTCACAAGACGTCTTACCAACAGAAATTGCGTTTTTCTCCTACTGACGCTGAAAGTTCGGTTTTCGTCCCGCTGTACAGGGAAGAAAGTGTAGCTTTTCCTCCCGCTGTACAGGGAAGAAAGTGTAACTTTTTCTCCCTGGGTACAAGTGCGCATGCGCGTTAGTGTCTACGTCTGCTTTCAAGCACCTAAAATTTTCCGCAATTGTTGTGCTCGGGTAATTTGCAATATTGTGTTTAGTGTAAAAGTGAAATAAACAAAAGGAAATAAAATTTAATAGTGAAGTATTAAACAAAGATGAGTTCATCAGATACTTCTTATTTAATTAGTGTTAATTAGTAACTAATAAAATACTAGCTGTACCCGTTTGCTTCACTGTGCATTTAAAATTAACATTATTATTATATTTCTCACCCTCACAAAGATTCTCATCATTAACGCCTCCGCAACTGGTGTAGGGAGTCCAACACTCATATAAATATTAGCCTATCCATTAAGTACATATATTTCCTACATGGACAGGCCCAGAGAGCGATCCTTTGAGGTTTGGTAGCGATTGAATCAAAGTAAAATCAAAGATTATCTCCAAAAGATCCGGCAAACAAACTATCCAGGAGTCAAAACAAGGAACAAGAATGTGTTTATGCTGTGGGGTTGGTTTACTGTAAGTAATGAAACCATAAAAACGCATCGATTATATTGCTGATATTATTTTATTGTTTTTTTTACTCGTTAATATTAAAAGCATTTTACGGAATGTAAAAATGTACTGTCTGGTTTTGAGCTTCCAATTAGTTATAATGTATGGCACATTTTTTTTTTTTTTATTGCCCTTGTATGCAGACGAGCGTACGGCCCACCTGATGGTGAGCGGTTACCGTTGCCCATGGACTTCAGCAATGCCAGGGGCAGAGCCAAGCCGCTGCCTACAAGCAATGCCAGGAGCAGAGCCAAGCCGCCGCACATAGGATATTGTGTTCATTATAAAAAATAGAACACTTTTTGGACTAAAAAATTGTTTAAACATAGATCAGCTCGTCTGTTATATTAAAATATATTTATTCTAATCTAACCTAAACTTAAATTTCCTAATATGTACTTCAACTACAAATGACCCATTTTAAGATAATATTTTTCCTCAATGATTCCGGTATCCATAAAAAAGCATAATATACGTATTTGACAAATTTGTTTAGTTATGTTGGTAGGATTGTACGAACAATTAACCCATAGACACAGCCCACTGAGTTTCTCGCCGGATCTTCTCAGTGGGCCGCGTTTTCGATCCGGTGGTAGATTCTACGAAGCGCTGCTCTTGCTAGCACCAGTGTTAGCAACACTCCGGTTTGAGCCCTGTGGGCTACACGTCAAGGAGAAGCTTAAATAACCTCTCAAGGATATCAGGATAGGTAGAATATAAAAAAAAAAAAACGAACAGTAGACACGTGCACGCACTGTTGCCAATATGACGATAATTGAAAAAATAAAGAAATATTTTTATTTCATGATGTAATTCCTGTTTCGGGAAGTTGTTTGTAAGCATATGATAGGTGAGTTCGACCCGCGTACAACGTCGTAATTTTCTGAGCTGAGGCAATATTAATAAATATTTATTTTGCAGCGAAACATTTTTTTTGTTTAATACGCGAAGAGCACAATGATTTTTCGATGTATGCACCTAGATTACATAATAGAACGTGGCGAAAGTCATCAGTTTCAAATAGACTAAAACTTAGTGTTAGACTTGGTGTTCATTAGTAACTAAGACCTTTAGATAATAATATCGCAAGATTCTCACGGTATTAAGAAAGGTCCAATGATTTTTTCAATAATAGAAGAATAGAACGAAGCGGTACCGACAATAAGGCCATAAAGGAATAACAACTTTAGAGGAATGCTATTTCAGAAACACGCATCCGAACTATTGCTGTCATATTTTCTTCAGGGAATTTGTTATTAACAAAGACTAGTCTTTTCACACGGCGCCTTGCGATACGGCACCGCAAGGGTTTTGCTGCACTGGCTATGATACGGACAATGCGACGTCGCAATGTCGTACCGCAGCGTTGCAACACCGCAGCGACAACGAAAGTGTTATGTTGGACGGTGGTATACCACAGTGACAAAAATAGATCAGAAAATATTACTTCGGGACCGCCGATATCGACATCTTATTTATTTTATTTATTTATTTATTTATTTTATTATTATTTGTGGTCATAGTTTAACAAAGATTAATAAGCTAATATTAATAAATGTATGACTATGTCCTGCTAGTAAAGCGTACAAATATTAGGTGTAAGTCTACATAAAAATAAAAAATAAAACTTAAATTATTCTACTTTATCATCTTAATTATCTAAAGTTATCGTCTAAATATTCTGACANTATAGCCATATTAATTGATTTATTTCTTCTGAAACCTTTTTGCTCTTGTGTAAATAAATTATGTTTTTCAAAGTAGGAGTTAATAGCTTCGTAAATAATTTTCTCTATAATTTTGGAAAAAATGGGAAGTAAAGATACCGGTCTATAACAAGCAATGTTTTCTTTATCGTCTTTCTTAAAGAGTGGCTTAATGACAGATTTTTTTAGTTTGCTTGGAAAAACGCCATGTTCTATACATAAGTTTATGATATGGCTAAGTACTGGGCTTATAATAAGTGCTACCGATTTAATTGCCGATGTAATAATATTATCATAACCAGAACTATGAGTGTTTTTAAGGGTTTTCATTAACAAAAAGATGTCGTACGGAATAACAGGATTCATGAATAAAGAGTGAGGTGTACTGTGTACATCGCCGATATAGAAGCTCTTTTTTTATTATTGCTTAGATGGGTGGACGAGCTCACAGCCCACCTGGTGTTAAGTGGTTACTGGAGTCCATAGACATCTACAACGTAAATGCGCCACCCACCTTGAGACATAAGTTCTAAGGTCTCAGTATAGTTATAACGGCTGCCCCGCCCTTCAAACCGAAACGCTTTACTGCTTCACGGCCGAAATAGGCAGGGTGGTGGTACTTACCCGCGCGGACTCACAAGAGGTCCTACCACCAGTCACGTCGATACTGAAGCAAACTGTCATTCCTACGTAAAGTAACGTTACAAGTGCGCTAGGTGCGATGCCAGAATGCCCCGTGTAGCATACCATAGGTTTTTATACTCATGAAACCACACTGGTTCTACTCAGGCACCGTGCCTTGTTTCTCTTAACATGTGTGCCACTACACTACACCACACCGAATCATACCACACGGGGACTTTTTAGCGGGAACGCGAGGAGTGAAGTTGTGTGATTTGTTTTATTTTGTCTATTTAGTGTTTCTTCAGGTTTAAATGTGTAATAACGGTGGTTTATTGACTGTTTAATATCTGTGAAAGAGCGTAAATGTGGGAAAATTAAACAAAGCCACTGGACGTAACTTCTCGGGATCCTTCAAAAAGTCAACTGAAAAAATCTCAGTAAATGATCACCACTTTACTGAGATTATATTTCATCTCATATCATCTCATTTCATTTAATTTCGTCACAGTTGATTAATGTCTCAATTTAATCATCTTTATTTCCTTTCTCTCTATTTTATCATTTTTCATAAAAATAAGAGAAATTAAAAGAAGACATGACTTAAAGGTCTTAGTTACCAGGTCATTAAGTTCCTTAAAGAAAAAAAACATACCACACGGTACCGTAAAATACGGTACAGAACATGCACAATGCTATGGACAGCTTTATTGAGATAATGACCAAGTCGAAAGAATCAGATTATTATAGCAGCCTGCAGAATAAACTATCCGCATTCAAAGCCAGACTTGTGATAACTGAGTGGAAGAAAAACACAGATTTGCACGTGCATATATTTAATTTATGGGACAAGCTCAGGTGCGATGCTTTAAAGCAGTGATGGGCAAAGTACGGCCCGCGGGTCAACTTCGGTCCGCGGAAGTATTTAATCCGGCCCGCCGAGAGTCCATCCATCCTAAATATTCTAGTCAGCATTTTGGCGCGTAAAATAAAATCTGACGTTTATAATTGAAAATCTTCAAATTTTTTATGAAAGCTCCAATTCATCAGGGGTGTTTTGAGCTTTCATTATCACATAATTAACTTGCAATCATTATAATTATCTCGGAAATCTGTCACAGGTATTAATTTCTTTATTGGAGAAAAAAAACCATTCTTTTCGCCTATCTATCACACGCCTCATGCACATGCCTTCAAGGCGTTAAAGTAAAAGGTATTTTGTCTATTAAAAAGCTTTAATACAAAATGCATTTTTTCTATAATTCTGGCCCTCCTCTAGAATTTCTTAAACTTTGTGGCCCGCCATTAAAAATGTTTGCCCACCACTGCTTTAAAAGGATCACGAAGGTTCAATTACACAGGTACAGCAAACGGGGATCCTGACTGGAGTCCAGTCAACCTTCCCCGTCTTCACATTGTAGGTCAAGAGGGTGATGTCCGTGTTTTTGGTCACGCATCTGGATCCGTCTGCAGCTAGCACGTTGCTGAAGCACTGCAGCGGATCGCTTGAGGGGCTCGTGCGTGATGTTCTGAAAGGTGACATAAATAGTTGACAGCAAAATTGTGTCAGTCAGCGCAAAAGTGGCCTAAACTTATCATAGTTAGTATGGAGGCAATTAGGTTTGAATTTTCATGAATTTAAATTTGAGTAAGCAAAAAACAATCCGCGCAAAAATAATTTTTACAAAGCTATCTTTTACATATGGATGAAGCTATGGATAGGCTGGTTTTGCATCAAAGTTTATTATATTTTAAATAAATTCCAATTTACGTCATATAAGCTTGAAAATAAAAAAAATTGGGTTAGGCCACTTTTGCGCTAATGGCCTCAATTAAAAATCGCAAAAGTAACAAAAAAATATTGTGGGCCATCGCTGGAAGCCTGGCTGATGTGAAACATTGATATTGTTTTTGATAGGTTTAGATGCAGAAAAGGATGGCTTATGGCAGCAACAATAATTCATGTGGCCTAATGAAATAAGAAAATATTAATACATTAAGAAACAGTCGCTTGCGATTGCGGCGTGTCGCCACGGTCTGCGATGCCACGCCCGCAATCAGTTTTACGTGCGGCTAGAGATGTTTCATATCAATTATTTGATTCGGTTCAGAGTTTACGGGCATGAGAACTACCGGGGATATGAATAGTTCGCATTTCAAATATTACTTGTGAAGCTGCACCCACGACCGAATCATTGGGACTTCTTTCCCAATCATCAGCAATCTTATGAATTAATTCCAAATGAGAGCTACCGGGGACTTGATTAGTTCGCATTTTAGACATTACTTGTGAAATTACAGCCACGGCCGAACCATTGAGAGTCAGCCGTAACCTTAGAACAGTGTTTCCGACAATAAGGCTGTGCGTCATGATAATCGCCTTATCGTTGCCGCCGCTGACTATTCCCCGAATCCTGATCACGCAGGAGCCAGTCACCGTCGATGCCTTAGACACGTCCTTAGGGATCGATCAGATCCAATAACCCTTGCATTAGACACCTTTAGCTCTAACACTAAGAGTAGGGACCCCGGTAACCGTACTCGTCGAACTCGATGGTTGGTAACCTACACATCAGCCCGCTGAGTTTCTCGCCGGATCTTTTCAGCGGGTCGCGATACCGATCCAGTAGTAGATTCATTCGCGAAGCGGCTACTCTTGAGTTCTTAGGTCTCTTTTTGAGGCACTCGTGTAGCCGTTAGCAAATCCCACCCTTTCTGGCTCAGTCTTTGCTCGCCCACTTGCCCTGGTAAAAGTGGAAAGGCCTCCGGGCCACTAGTAATCTCTCAAACATAAAAATTAACGAACCATTGAGAATTCTTTCCCAATCATCAGTAATCTTATGAATTATTTCCAAACACCCGTTTTCTAATCAGTAAAATATTCATGTACACGATGTCTTGTTAGGATTTCAAATCAAACAGGCCAGTTAAAACGTACTTACGCGCATTGAACCATGTTTATGTGTTGTTTGAAGAATTCAGTTTGAACAACAGCTTTTATGTGATTATCATTTTTCACTATGAAAGGTTGTTCGGTCTGTGAATTAAAAAAAAAAAACATTTGTTAATTTTTATTTAAGTCTAAGAAAACTTAACAAAGTAACCGAATAAAGCTACAATTAGTCTCTCTGCTATGAGATATCCCTAATAACAAATTAAAACAAACAACAAATTTGTGTTGATAACAAACAAACATATTTGCTGCGCTGTAATCTGTTACAGATATCTAATTCATCACGAAACTAAAGTTAAACGAAGTTAAAGTCATTTATCACGCAGAGTAGTGGAGAACTAGAGACTGATATACATACTTATATACGTATTAATAATACATACGTGTATAGATATTAAATATGGGGACAAAGAGCAAACGTACGAAAGTTTTCCCGATGTGGGAATTGAATTCACTATCCTGGGCCCAGCAATTGGGGCCATTAATTACAGCATCGTCCAGTCAATTGATCAAGACAATTTATTAAAATTGGGATAAGCTGGCGTTGTTTTAGTAAATTCATATTCGCAGTAGGTACATCGCTGAGGCAATTGCCGCCATTCCTCGAGATGCTAGATACCGCATGTCATTTCATTTTAATTGAAACCGTGTAATGCTCGCGAACGTAAGCGAACTTTTAGAAGTCGTCGTGGCCTAAAAGATAAGACGTCTGGTGCATTCGAGTTGAAGCGATGCACCGGTGTTCGAATCCCGCAGGCGGGTACCAATTTTTCTAATGAAATACGTACTCCATAAATGTTCACGATTGACTTCCACGGTGAAGGAATAACATCGTGTAATAAAAATCAAACCCGCAAAAAATATAATTTGCGTAATTACTGGTGGTACGACCTCTTGTGAGTCCGCGCGGGTAGGTACCACCACCCTGCCTATTTTTGCCTTGAAGCAGTAATGCGTTTCGGTTTGAAGGGTAGGACAGCCGTTGTAACTATACTTGAGACCTTGGAACTTATATCTCAAGTTGGGTGGCGCATTTACGTTGTAGATTTCTATGGGCTCCAGTAACCACTTAACACCAGGTGGGCTGTGAGCTCATCCAACCATCTAAGAAAAAAAAAATACAATAAAAATTTAGTACATATTACAGAATTTTACACACATAAATATGTACTTAGAGGTCCCGCAGTAGTCGAAATTCGACTATAATTTATTGGAATTGTAAGTTTGTACACTATTATGATTGTATTTTATACTTCTATAATCACAAATTTCGCGAAGACTACACTATAAAAAGATATTAACTGTCAAACAATATTTAATCTATTCTCAATTTGACCGCAGACGTCAAGAACAAAAGTTTGACAATAAGTAGTATGCATGCGTGTGTGCGACAAATACATGGTATGTAGTGTGTGTAATGTTTTCCTTATTGATTTAATGTATCTTGTATGCATTATTTTTAAAAAATATTAGCATTGTGCACTTCTTCTCTATATTCTCTATAAGTGTGGAAAATTTCATACTCCTCCGTCCGCGCAATTTTCGTAAAAAGGGATACAAAGTTTTTGCTTCACGTATTAATATATTATAGATACCCTTTTTCTTTGACTGAAACAATTCTAAATCACCTAGTAGATATAATATACGTACCCAAGATTCGTAGGCGCAATTCGAGTCCGGTGGATTGTGCATTATTTTCGGCGTAGATGCCGAAAACGAAGTGAAATTCACGACTATCGGACGGGAATTCGAGTTCTGTGAATTTTTTAAATGGTTCAATTAGATCAGGTACTTACTTACGTATACCACATAGTCGCTCGGCGCAAGGTCATTCGTACATTTTCTTTTTGCCATTCTCGGCAGATGAGGATACGACCAAGCCACCGTCTACTGATTCTCAATCAACATTATAAAGTCGATAAGACGTCCGGTGCATTCGTATGTAGCGATGCACCGGTGTTCGAATCCCGCAGGCGGGTACCAATTTTTCTAATGAAATACGTACTCAACAAATGTTCACGATTGACTTCCACGGTGAAGGAATAACATCGTGTAATAAAAATCAAACACGCAAAAATTATAATTTGCGTAATTACTGGTGGTAGGACCTCTTGTGAGTTCGCACGGGTAGGTACCACCTCCCTGCCTATTTCTGCCGTGAAGCAGTAATGCGTTTCGGTTTGAAGGGCGGGGCAGCCGTTGTGACTATACTGAGACCTTAGAACTTGTATCTCAAGGTGCGTGGCGCATTTACGTTGTAAATGTCTATGGGCTCCAGTAACCACTTAACACCCGGTGGGCTGTGAGCTCGTCCACTCATATAGTAAGCAATAAAAAAAAACATTAAATGATCAGAACTTATTGTAAGCCCATACGGGTATGTAGCATCATCCTAAGTATTAATGCCTCGAAGTAGTTTTGCGTTCCAATTTGAGGGGTGGGTCAGCCGTTATACCATTCGATGTCAGCCTTATTTCTCAAGATTGACCAGACTAGGTGGGTCAGATGGTCATTCACCCATGTGGCTCCGGCCCTACCAACTCATTTCAGAGACCCTTCTCGTAAATTAGGCTATCAGTGCTTTCATTTATTGAATTTTGTGATATGTTGATCGTACAATCGAGATTTCTGGGTAGCAACTGCCACCACGCGTACAATTAACTTTGAGGTTATTTACTAAGGTTATTTATTTAAGAAGTTTTATATGTAATATATATCTACATCTTTATTTTAATATTTATTTATACTTTATGCACAAAACAAAAGTTGTAACATAGGCGGAATTAATGCCATGGGCATTCTCTTCCAGTCGACCATAGGGTGGTGCACAGATAATGCATGGTAGGTGCATTAACAACAGAATAACAAACAACAACAAAAAAAAAAGGACAAAATCAACACAAAAATATTCCTTAAAGTAACATCTCAGTACTATAGAATACACATAGTGTTAAATATAGGTACTCATATGGATATCTTTTTTTTTTTTTTCCACAGGAGAAAATCGCCGGATCCCCACCCGCGCGGCAGGTGGGGTATGTGGGAGTTGAACCTCACTAAAAACTCCTGCCGCTCACAACAAGATTACATAATATGACTTTGTATGCATAACTAAACATACTACTATTTAATATACCTATGTATAAAATACATATGTAAGGAGGTTATTTATTTAAGGTTATTTACCTTCAATTTCAGTGCGATGGCGGCTTGTTCTATGTTCGTTTTCAAATCTTCTGTCATCCAATTCGGTTTTACGCTACAAATCATGCTATCCTTGCACTTCCTTGGCCATTGGAATGCCGCTTAAAACGAAAATAAGTATTTCATTTAATTACTAGATGACCCGGCAGACTTCGTAGTGCCTCAATCGATAAATAAAAAAAAAAAACCTAAACTTTTGTATAAAATAAACTTAAAACAAACAAAAGGAATCTGTCCGACGGGGGAGACATTAAAGGAAAAACAAAATTATTATTTTTTATTTAATTCCGAGCATTTTAATATTTATCTACCTCTCAAAACCTTCTCTGGACTTCCACAAATAATTCAAGACCAAAATTAGTCAAATCGGTCCAGCCGTTCTCGAGTTTTAGCGAGACTAACGAACGGCAATTCATTTTTATATATATATAGATTATATTTTCGGTAAGAATTGATATGGTTAAGCGGTTAAGAGATGTGAATGTAAGGTGCAGTGAATTAACATTAAAATTAGTAGTATAGGTAGCTGAAGAGCCTACATTGAGCCAAGTGAATTATCGGGCGGGTAAATAGCAGAACTTTTATCAACCCCCTGTACCTGGTGTCGAGCACTTAAGCCTTAATAGAACTATATCTCAATATTATTACGACTGTCTTTTTCTTCCAGTCACAACGTATGATCGCATCGTGACAGCGATGAGCAGGACGGTGGTACCCATCCATGTGCTCTTAAAATAAGCCCTTCCACTCTTAAGTATACGTTAAAATATAACAAGAATATACTTACAACTACATAAGAATCCTTTTGTTAACAATAGAATTAATATGACCTGTAACAAAACCGGCTTTTACTGTGTATTACCTACATATGACCAAAATTTTGATATTAATAAGGTGATAGCTGAGTTAAAGTCCACAATTTTTATGTACAAATTATTTTTAAAAGGGACCTGTTAGGCAGCGTATCTTGCTTGTAAAAGAAACAAGAAGGAATGTGGTCCGCACGGGTAGGTACCACTAACCCGCCTATTTCTGCCGTGAAGCAGTAATGCGTTTCGGTTTGAAGGATGGGGCAGCCGTTGTTACTATACTTGAGGAATTAGAACTTATATATCAAGGTGGGTGACGCATTTACGTTGTAGATGTCTATGGGCTCCAGTAACCACTTAACATCAGGTGGGCTGTGAGCTCTTTCACCAATCTAAGCAATAAAAAAAATATGTGGGATTTTGCGATGATAGTAGACAGCGGCTTGACTGTACCCCTGGCATTGCTGACGTCTATGAGTGACGGCAAAAACTCATGGTCAGGTGAGCCGTTCGCGCGTCTGTCTACAAAGACAATTAAAAATAATCATCAACATACCTTCAACAAAATCATTTTCATTTTATTTCACTTAAATTTCACATAAAAACTAAAAACGTTTTTAGTTCTACGCAAGCGTATGTTACATTCTGGTGCACGTTTGTGATTAATACACAGCCTAACTAACGCCTTGTTATATAGGTGGAGGGTTTTCCTGATTATCGCTTTGAAAGAGCTCGTGCTATATGTGAACTCATTGATCCCTTTTGCACACGTTTTGTTAACAAGATCGTGTCGTGCGACAACATTGCTGACGGACGAAATAAATCAATGATTAATATGTAACCATATAATAATATATATAACCATATAATAGTTGTGGGTTTTTATCGGCCAAACTCTTGGTATGACGTTTGAGTTGCCCCGAACCGGCTCCGTCCTTTTTTTTAATACACTTTTATTAGCTTCAGACGTATGTATATTTGTAACGGAATTTTTGAACACGATTTTGACCCACTTCAAAACGTCGGATTAACTCGAAATTTGGTATACTAATTAAGGACCGATGACGATTCAATATTAAAAATAAAAAATAAAAAATTGAAATTCAACTAAAAAATGAATAATAAATAATAGCTTAAAAAAACTAACTAATAGAACTAACTAATAAAAATAAAAATAAAAAACTACTTTACAAAGCTATCAACTGTATTTTATTCACAATGATTTATAAAAAAATATATAATAATATTATATAAAGAAACACCTATTTATATGAATAATAATAACAGTAATCACGTAGACTATACATTAGACATCATACTAAGACTGTACATAAATAATAAAAATCTTACGTTACGGACGTTTTTTCCCCATCGTCCCATAAGGAACTTCGTTCGAAAAAAAAAACCCTTCCATCCTGATTTATTGCATGCAATTGAATCCTTAAACAGATTTCTAAGGATTTGCTTGCGATTTGGATGCGCTTCTACGGGATGTCACGAAGATACGCGATTGATACAGATACAGATTACCTAATATGTGTTTATAAATGAGGCCTGCACGGCTTGGTACCGCTACAGGTATCCTACTGATTTATACCGTAAACTCATACGTCCGTTTTGAAGGACTGGTAGACCATACAATGAAGATTTCGACCTCATGTCGCGAGGTGGATGGCGGCATGAACGTTGTGACATCAATAACCACTTAACAGCTAGGCTTCGAACTCCTCCACCGGTCTATACAATAATAACCTTTAAATATATAAATCTACAGTGTTTTTTAGGGATGTTTCGTTATAACTACTAAACCATGCATACGACTGACTTGAAACTTGGTATCCATGTAGAAAATACATGTACTTAATGGATAGGCTAGTATTTATATGTGTGTTGGACTTCCTACATCAGTTGCGGGGGCGTTAATGATGAGAATCTTTGTGGGTGAGAAATAATAATGTTAATTTCAAATGCCCAGCGAAGCGGCCGGTACAGCTAGTATAATATAAATTCACAATAATATTTCATGAAACTAACCAAACTAACATTTGTTGCTTATCAGAATGGCGATTCAAAGAATTTTTTCCTGCTTAATTAATTCCTTCCTTATCAGTACCAAGAAATTTAACAAAGTTTTTATTTAATTTAATATTCCGTTTTTTATCATTATATAAAAACGCTTAATAACATTCTTTAGAGTTCATGCGATGGCGGTACTTACGTTTTTAACATAATATTTTTTTCATTTGATAATCACACCACAGCTGTCCATGGTAAAACTGTAAGGACTCTCCTCAAATCCCATTCTGATCGACAGGCCTCCATAACTTAATTACCAGTTGTAATTAATTGATTCGTTTTTTAGTGAACCAAGCGCCAATTTAATACAAAAACTGTCATATAACATATATATCATTTGAATCCCAAAACGAAGATTCTATCCGTAAAAACGAAACACATAAATATTTTGAAGTTGTTGATTATGTTTTAGGAGATAAAATATGAGGTTCAAGTGTCCAAGGTGACAGCCGTCCCAACTCCAACCTGGAGAGATTCATAGTGACGGGTGAAGTGGATGAAAAAGGATCTAGGGGTCGCAGCCCCAAAAAAAAAGAGTGATCAAGTGTGCCAACGTCCTTTTTTTTCAGGCAGGAGGCTAAGCCCCATGCGAGGCTTCCGCGCCTACATATTACACGAAAACATACATATATTAGGCAGTATCGCTACTTTTTTGTCAGTTTCGACTCACTGTAATAGAATGGTACAAAGACATCACTAATCTTCTGAGTTTTGTATTTATTGTTTAGATGGGTGGACGAGCTCACAGCCCACCTGGTGTTAAGTGGTTACTGGAGCCCATAGACATCTACAACGTTAATGCGCCACCCACCTTAGATATAAGTTCTAAGGTCTCAGTATAGTTACAACGGCTGCCCCACCCTTCAAACCGAAACGCATTACTGCTTCACGCAGAAATAGGCAGGCTGGTGGTACCTACCCGTGCGGGCTCACAAGAGGTCCTACCGCCAGTAATTACGCAAATTATAATTTTGCGGGTTTGATTTTTTACATGATGTTATTCCTTCACCGTGGAAGTCAATCGTGAACAGTTGTTGAGTACGTAATTCGTTAGAAAAATTGGTACCCTCCTGGGATTCGAACACAGGTGCATCGCTCAACACGAATGCACCGGACGTCTTATCCTTTAAAATAGCCTTTCAAATATCAAAGTTTATTTTGATAAAAGCCCAAGATTAGATACGAGGGCAGACTGATGATGGTGACGTTTTAAGTAAAATCGAGTAACATAGTCTGTGTGTTCCTGTGTCTATGACTCAAAAAACATATACCTCTGGTTTAAGGGACGAAATTTTGAGGGGTTTCTTTTATTCGCCAACGGAACCCTAATAACGCGTTGTAATTCATTGCGAAAAAAACGTCACTATAAGGCAATAAGATGTTAAAAAACTTTCATATTATATCATTAAAATGTAGATAGATATGTGAACTAAAAAGGCGACGTCGCAAAACGCATTGCGGACACAGCTTACGTCAACGAGACATTTTAAGCCCTAAAACCGTGTGTGATAACGAGCATTTTCCATTGTTAGACTTCGAAAGATAAAACGCAGTCGTTTTGCCCTGTTTCACTCTGAAATTGTCATCATTATATACATATTACAGTATTTTTAACACATTCTCGGCGTATTCTAACTTTGTGTTTGTGACGTAATACGCTTTGATGGTATTGTTCTCGTTTGTCGTAACAAGATGATGCAAACAAAGAACTAATTTAATATATGGCGTCGACTGACAAACACACAAACGATGTGTGAATGTGTCATTGAGAAACTATGTATGACCGGCAAAATTTTTTAGTAATCAATCTTCCTTCTTTATAGCTTTACTTAATTTGTAGTTGGGAGGGAACAAAACGCGATCTCAGCTATGATTGGTTACGACTGACTTATATAGAATTGACAATTGACATTACAATTAGTAGTCACGTATGCATACTTAATTAGACACGGGAAAACTTGCCTTTTTTCAGTAGGGAAATTTGAGTTTGAATGTTAGGAAAGTCTCTGATGGCTTGCATAAAAACCTTATTACCTTTGTTTTGGATATCCGAAACCATTTAAGCTAAAATGAATTGTGGTGACTGCGTAAACATTATTTGATGGTGATACTCGTAATAGTAAAACAATATATGAGAGATTAGGAAATGTTCAGTGGGACTAATTAAAAGTTGAATGTACCTTGAGAGCTCAGTTTCACCCACTGCACCTTCTGTTCACAGAATATCCTTATGTTACAACGATGGTGGTTCTTTTTTAATGAGAGTAGACATAAAACCTCTCGCATGGCCACTTATAATTTAGAAGAGTGCCGTGTCAAGTCGCCGCCATTACGCGTCGTCTAGCAGTGGCGTCGAATTCTGCAGCCTGGAAGAAGCTAGCGACGGGTTGGCAGGTACGTCTACTCCTAATAGCCTACCCTCGGCCTTCCCCTCTTTTGTGCATCTTTAGCGATACTCGCCCCCGCAAAACTTCCTTCAAAAATATTGAACACTAGCGCACCGCCGTGGTGGAAAATTTGTAAAGAGTTTTCCCACTAGATGGGTAAGTACCAACCACCACCCAGGCTATTCCTGCCGCGAATATGTTGAACTGTTATCGTAAATCAAAGTTTCAATTTTATTATATAACAGCTATGCTATATATTCCTCAAGCCGGAACGGTTATACGCTTAGCGGTAGTAATAAGCAAGATGGTGGTACATACTTTCATACAAATAATTGTAGTCAATCATACGTTAATTAACAGGAAAAAAAATTCTAAAAAAAGTGAGTTAATTAATTGATGATTAAGTTAAATTGTTCAAAGTAAGCATTTTACTGGTGGTAGGACGTCTTGTGAGTCCACGCGGGTAGGTACCACCGCCCTGCTTATTTCTGCCGCGAAGCAGTAATGCGTTTCGGTTTGAAGAGTGGGGCAGCCGCTGTTAATATACTTGAGAGCTTAGAACTCATATATCAAAGTGGGTGACGCATTTACGTTGTAGATGTCTATGGGCTCCAGTAACCACTTAACACCAGGTGGGCTGTGAGCTCGTCCATCACTCTAAGCATTAAAAAAAATACATATGCTGTTTTGGAGTTACTATAAGGTATGAGTTTACGTCAATTAAAATTCATTGAGACATTCGCTAGTGACGTCAACGTGTAAAATTTGTGCCAGTGCCATGCCACTTTGGTTGGGTTATCCAGCAGATCCTTTTACGCGTCCGCTAACCTGCAATCGGATTTACAACATCAAACGTCCTCAATAAAAAGCTCTGCAATGCATCGTATAATAAACATTAAGCCCGCAATATTGTAACTTGCGTGGTTACTGGTGGTAAGACGTCTTGTGAGTCCGCACGGGTAAGTACCACCACGCCGCCTATTTCCGCCGTGAAGCACTAATGCGTTTCGGTTTGAAGGGAGTGGTTGTTCTCAAAAACGGAGACTTAAAACTCATACCTGAAGGTGGTGGTAGCATTTACGTTGTTGTTGTCTATGGGCTCCGCTGACCACTAAAAACCGAGTGAGCTCGCCTACCGACTTTAGCAATAAAAAAAAAAAAAAACGTGATATTAAGCCGCAAAAGTAGTTTTATTAATAATAATAAATAATAAATAAATAAATATTTACTAACAATCACGCCACGTTAACTGGTCCCGTGATAAGTTCGTAAAGAACTTGTGTTACAGGTACCAGATAACGGATATAAATGTAAGATTTTTATTATACACCATACATATATTTAATAGACACCCATAACCCTGGAAAAGACATTTATATTTATCATACGAATATCTTCCCTTGGCGGGATTCGAACCCGCGACCCCCTTGTGTAGTGACCATGTCACTTACCACTACACCAGACGGCCGTTTAAATGTTTAATGTCTAACACTAGTGATTTTACTTTAGTCTTGTGTTCCACAAACATTTATAATAAACTAGTTGACCCGGCGAACTTTGTTCCGCCTTAGAGGCAATAAGTGAGCAGACCTTTGTTTTATCAAGATCATTTTTTTTATTTGAATAATTAATGTAAATTAAAAAAGAAGTATTTTAATGATTCTTTATTGGCCATGTATTTTAGTTGTTATTATTATTATTATTTCATTTTTTGTTCTTCTTCAGTCTTTTCACTCGCAATGCTTCGAATCCTAGTTGCATTACGGCTTCGTCGGGAAAGATTTGATCGTGTTGGTCGCGGCATGGCTTTCTTAATGATTAATGAATAAACTCGAAATAAACACATCAACCGGTCAACTTCAAAATTCTACTATAATTAACCATAGACTACATTACGTTTAGCTGTCAGTTGGGTTTTGTTATTCCATATCTGTTGCGTTTTGTTATACCACATTTTATGTCACATCCCACAGAAACGTGATAAAAAGTATTCTATGTCCTTCTCTTGATCCTAAGCTACCTCCCCACCAATTTTCAGCCAAATCAGTTCAGCCGTTCTTGAGTTATAAATAGTGTAACTAACACGACTTTCTTTTATCTATATATTAATACGTGAAGCAAAAACTTTGTATCCCTTTTTACGAAAATTGCGCGGACGGAGGAGTATGAAATTTTCCACACTTATAGAGAATATAGAGAAGAAGTGCACAATGCTAATATTTTTTTTAAATAATGCATAAAAGATACATTAAATCAAAAAAGAAAACATTCCACACACTACATACCATGTATTTGACGCACACACGCATGCATACTATTTATTGTCAAACTTTTGTTCTTGACGTCTGTTGTCAAATTGAGAATAGATTAAATATTGTTTGTCTCTGTTAATATTTTTTATAGTGTAGTCTTGGCGAAATTTGTGATTACAGAAGTATAAAATACAATCATAATAGTGTACAAACTTACAATTCCAATTAATTATAGTCGAATTTCGACTACTGCGGGACCTCTAGTATATATAGATTTGCGTAAATTAGAACTTCGTATCATCCGAAAAAGCCTTCTGTTTAGTAGGTCGAACGAATTAATATTGATGTAATGAGAATAATTACATAATGCTATCTAAACTTCCTCACATTAAACTCTGTGTTATATAATATAGAGCGTTAGTATTAAAATTACAACACTAGATAAACTGCTTTTAAATCTTTCTGTTGCAAACATATTTCGCTGATGATGTGCTCGGTCTATACATATGCCAACAGTACATAAATGTAAGTATCGCCACATACTAATCCTTTGATAGAATAGGGCCTCGTGTCACCTATTTAGTGATACTGATCACAATATATTTCAATGAATTTGCAACCGTGAGAGATATTAAAATGTGTATATGAAAAAAACCTAATTTGAGTTCTTTTGCCCAATAGCCTGCCCTTTTTTAATACGCTTTTATTAGCTTTTTTACAATAAAATCATTTTTTCTTACACTATTTTTAATTCAAATTTATTAAAATTCATTTTCTATTTTTTAGTTGGATTTTCTATAAAAGCGTATTTTGTTAGTTTTTTTTAAACTATTATTTGTATCTACGTTCTGATTTCGTTTGACTAGAACTAATCTTTTGAGGCAGCTAAAGCACTTGACTCATGTAGCTTGAAAATGATGGAGTCAACTAAATGAAATGTTTTTTTATGACGATCTCCATGTAAAATACACACATGCGAGAAACATTATAAATTCAAATTTTCATCGATACCGTCCCGTCACTAAAACTCGATAGTGAAGCAACAATCGCAAACCGTCTAACACTCGTACCAGTATATATAAATATATGTAGGTATATAATAGTCATATATTCCATATACTCCACTTTACATCATCAAAAAGTAACAATCAGTCAGTACTAAGAATTGAAGACGAATTTCATTAGTAATTCGTCTGGTACGTTTCCGTTTCCGAATACGTGTCCGATTTTTTCCCCAATATGGGAATCGAACCCACGAACCTGGGCGCAACCGTAAGCAGCGCTAGCTACTGCACCACCGAGTCGGTAAAAATAATTATTCATTTTTGAAAATTTGACATGCATTACATGTTTTATAAAAACAATACTAGGTATTATTACATAATAGCTAGTGTCTTTACACAAGAATAGGTCCGTATGTACATTCCCGATGTTACTTTAAATACCCAAACAACATATTCGTCTTTATAATAATTTAAAATAAAGAAAAGAAACTGCTACATTGCTTGTTAATACTAACAATTCCTGCTATTCAATCGCTTAGCCTACTTTCAAGACTGTTGTTACTTCATCGAAGGGATTTCCTTAAGGATCATATCGTTCTTCCGTTCACTTAATGCTGATAACATGATGCTATTATGCGATATTCCGCCATCAAGAAGAGCGGGGATGATTTAAATAAAAGAAAACCACTCCCCGTCGGAGAGGTGAGAGTGATTTCGTATCGGACGACGCGCGCACGTTCCGTTTTCGCACGCGAGAAAGTTTCGTTCGAGTTTTGGCGGTTATTTCGAATTTGAAATAGAACAGCGAAAATATCGATAGCCTTTATCGATATAATTATTTGAGATTAACTTAACCTTTTATATTCGAATATTTTGTTCAGTGTTCGGTGGCTGTGTCTGTCTGTTTTAGTGTTGTGACTTTCACCGTTTACGATAAAAAGGATGATGTTTGCACCTAATATAAAGGTAAGTGTAGAAAGAATGAATTTACACGCGTGAAGAATACAAAGAAGCAGTATTGTAGTCGTAAATTCGTCAATCGCTCGTATTTTTATTTTTACTACTTCACACGAAAACACAAACTTTGTGACACACTCAATTTAACTGGATTACATCCACTTTGAAACATGAGGTCTTAACTGCAATATAACACGTATAATTTATTATATATATATATATAATAAATTATATATATATTTATTATATATATATTTTGTGAGTTTATTTGGACAGAATACTTGCACAGGATAAAATCAAGCAACAAATACCTACACGCCGACACCGAATTCTTAATTCACCCAAAAAAAGATTGTACCTCACAATAGAGAATCGAACATACATATATCCTGCGATATTAGAAACACCTACTAGTGTCTAATATCCTAATAGCAGTTATCCTACCCTTCAAATCGGAAAGCATGCTTCTCAGCAGAAATGTGCAGGGTTGTGGTACCCGTCCGTTGAGGCTCACAACGCTCGTCCTACCTCCGATAAGCCAGCCCACTGAGTTTCTCACCGGATCTTCTCAGTGTGTTGCGTTTCGGATTCGGTGGTAGATTCTGCGAATTACTGCTCTTGCTAGGGTCAGTGTTAGCATCATTCCGGTTTGAGCTCCGTGAGCTCACCTACTAGTTAAGGTTAGGCTGAAATAGCCTCTCAAGGCTATCAGCTTAGGTAGGATCATACAAAAATCCGATAATTAATCTGTTGAATACATTTTAGGCTTTTTTGGTTTATGCCACACAATGCTATTCGTCAGCATCATCGTAGAAGTCACCGACAGCATTTATAAGTAAATAATAACAAATAAATGTGTAGATGTTTGTACTTCGGCAGTACATATACTAAAATTGGAACGATACAGAGAAGGTGTTTATTTGGGAAAATAATCTCCACGATTTGGACTCGCTTGATATGGTCGCACCAATCGATTATAATTATGTTGTGAACCGCAGTAATTAGGTCACAGAATTTTAAAATATACGGGAATCAGTTCTTATGGAAACCGTATAGCTTAGAACTTCAATATCTTCAATCTACTTAGAATTCTAATTTTTAAATCAGAACCCAAGATTTCTTTGTTATAGTAATGACCCAAATAAATCTATTTTAGGTTGATTGATAGATTAGTCCTCTCTCTTTTTTTTATTGCTCTTGTAGGCAGACGAGCATACGGCCCACCTGATGGTGAGTGTTTGCCGTCGCTCGTGGACGTCAGCAATGCTAGGGACAGAGCCAAGCAGCTGCCTATGACGGATGGCAGTCAAAAGCTTGCTCGCCCACCTGTCCTGGTGAAATTGGAAAGGCCTCCGGGCCAACAGTAATCCCTCAATCATAAAAAAAAACTAATGACCGAGTCTTTGGACTTACCTGCTCATTGACGCAAATATATTTAGCTGATGAGCCATCAAACGCTACGTAATCCACACACAAGTTAGTGTGAAATATAGTGATGTTTTTAGATGTTTAATTGGTTATTCTTCCTATTCGTACACTCTTGACAGAGTGGTCGTGGTCATGCATCAGTCGGATACGACCTGCTCATGACTCTCGTGGGAAATTAGTGCAGTGGTTTCCCGTTGCCTTCTGCACCAGCATTTTAGGGGGTATTTGATCCCCAAGGTTTCTGACGCCTCTTCCGTACAGGTTGTCCTGACGGGTGTGTATGCTTATACCGCCATTGCTCGGTCGCCATTGCCCCGTTCATTCTCTAGCAGGGAGCACCACGGCAACCTGTTGGTCGCCGCCGCCATCCGGCGCGTGCAGGTGGGGTTGACAATAGGGCCGGTGAAGGTAGCATTCCGATCTCCCCTTACTCCCCTTACTTAATTGGTTATAGTTAAACAAATTAAAATATTTCAAATTGTGAATGTTTAGATTTTACATAATCTCATTAATTGCGCTAATCCGACCATCGCCCTTCGACATAGTAACCGTAGCTCATTTCACTTACTTCCTTAATAAGCACTTGCGATTACATGAACGTACAAGACGTAATAAAGTTACATTCGAATTTTGTTTGTAAAAAAAATCATTTTCATATACATTCTATGCGTCTAATGCAATTGCAGTGAATGTTTGTAAGAGTGAATGTATCGTTAGAAATAGGACATCTTCGAATTACGACAGAGAATAGTCGTATTTGGAGTTTGATTATCAAATTTCGACTTTTAGAAAAAAAAGAGCGTATTCTAATTTAATATTTCGTAATCATAAAATTTTGTATTATTTATAGCAACCTTTACTGGAGGTAGGACCTCTTGAGAGTCCGCGCGGGTAGGTACCACCACCCTGCCTATTTCTGCCGTGAAGCAGTAATGCGTTTCGGTTTGAAGGGTGGGGCAGCCGTTGTAATTATACTTGAGACGTTAGAACTTATATTTCAAGGTGGGTGGCGCATTTACGTTGTAGATGTCTGTGGGCTCCAGTAACCACTTAACGCCAGGTGGGCTGTGCGCTTGTCCACCCATCTAAGCAAAAATAATTAAAAAAAATTAGAATTTTAGCTTGTGTGTTTCTTTAGATCCTACCCAGTGAACACTTTCAAATAGAATTTTTATTTTAAAGTTGACGTTCTATTATTTATATTACGTAATAATATTAAAATTTTATATTTAAAGAGCTCTTTAACAGTGGCTTAATTAAATATCATGCAAATTAATTCGTTAATTGACACAGACTGAATACTGAGGTAAGAAAGCGAAAATAATTAGCTGGAACAAATTATTATTTTTAAAGATGAAAAAAATATAAATTTTTCGAGACAGAATAATATATATTTTTTTTAATATTGTTATAGTTGCGGTAATATAAATACGTAGTGCGACAGCAGCCCCGATGCATTATCTCATAGAGGTCGTTCACACGCACGTAATAAAACGGACGAAAGTAAAATCGTCTTGCTTTCTGCTTGTCGGTCTGCGAGTGAATTATAAGTATTGGCATAACGCGACCGACGCGTTATCGATAGAAAGTCTCCCAGCCCTAATGCTGTGTAACCACTATAAAAACATGGATGGTTTTAGGGACGAATTTTTTTTTATATCTTAGGCGGGTGTTTTTTATTTTTTATGGCTTATTTTTTTATGCCTTAGATGGGTGGACGAGCTTACAGCCCACCTGGTGTTAAGTGGTTACTGGAGCCCACTACTGCTTCACGGCAGAAGTAGGCGGGGTGGTGGTACCTACCCACGTGGACTCACAAGAAGTCTTACCACCAGTAATTAGGCAAATTATAATTTTGCAGATTTGATATTTATAACATGATTTGATTTTTATTACTTCTTTACAGCTTTACTTCATTTTTAGTTGGGAGTACACAAAAAGCGATCTTAGCTATGATTGGTTACGACTGACTAATATAGAATTGACATTTTAAATTAGTAGTCATGTATGCACCCGTGCGGACTCACAAGAGGTCCTACCACCAGCCTCTTATATCCTGACCATTAGTTAGCTATTTCTAACCGAATACACGAGTCGTGTGAACTAACAGTGTAATTGGGACGCCATTAAAGCCCCGATTATCTGCAAAATACACAATTACATGTACAACAATAGTTATCAGGCATCTTCGGAAGAGTTTCATCAACAGTAATCGACCTGAGAAACACAATGCTATTGTAAAATCTTTTAAACACATTAGTATTTATATCTGATCTAATTTGATGTATACACAGCTGGGAGTTCTCCGTACTTCGTTTTATTGAAAAAAATAATAATTTTGCAGCGTGTAAGTCGTGTAAGCGTCTTGTTCGTGTCGTCAACTAATTTTTCTGAGTTATCATGAGTTTATTGGTGATAGAGGTTGTAGGCAGCGGCTTGGCTCTGCCCCCGGCATTGCTGAAGTCCATGGGCGACGGTAACCACTCACCATCAGGTGGGCCGTATGCTCATCTGACTACAAGGGCAATAAAAAATAAATAAATAAAATATAGCCCCTTGTGAGTCCGCACGGGTAAGTATCACCATTCTGACTATTTCTGCCGCGGAGCAGTTATGCGTCCCGATTTGAAGTACGGGCAGTAGTATAACACTACAAAAGCCTCATGATCTGTAAGTGGAGTAAAATGTCCCTTCGGAACAAGGTGACACTTTACAAAACTTGCATAAGGCCCGTCATGACTTACGTGAGTGTGGTGTTCGCTCACGCGGCCCGCACACACATAGACACCCTCCAATCTCTACAATCCCGCTTTTGCAGGTTAGCCGTCGGAGCTCCGTGGTTCGTGAGGAACGTTGACCTACACGACGACCTGGGCCTCGAATCTATCCAGAAATACATGAAGTCAGCGTCGGAAC